TTGAAAAACTAAAAAAGCCACCTCATGCCGAGCCCTGGTAGTGAGCATGCAAATCGGAAGCAGGTTGTTTGAGTATTAAGCATATAGAGAAATAATACAGATACATTCATATAATATATCTGGCAATAATTTCTGCTTCTATCCCCTTCACCAGTTTTTAAGTAAGTTCGACTCACAGTGAGTGTAAAAATTACCTGGTGAATCTGCAAATGATGCATCAAAGCACGCATAGTTGATGAGTGCATAGGTTATAAGAAAGAAGTTGGATATGATGGGAGCGATAGCATTCAGAGAACCTCAAAGACAGAGTTTGGGCAAGATTCATTTCCAGGCATGACTTCACATAATTATGCATTAAGTATGAAAGCCAACCTACTGCTGTTGCAGCAATAGCAATGACGAAACCAAGGACATATGCTCTTCTTGGTTCTTCATTCTTTCCATAGCCCTTTCCGAAAAAATCAATTCTGGGAAAAAGATGGTCTTGGCAAACAGCCTGGAAGAGTAAAATTGATTTAAAGCGATACTGGTTTTCACGCTGATGAAAATCCCTTGGAGCAACTATTCATTCGTTCGGTGACGAAACCACCCTACCTTGAAAACCTTCGATGAGCTTACAAGGGATGCGAGACCAGAGCTGAGCGCAGACGCAAAGATCCCGGCTGTGATGAGGGGGCCGAAGAATGACTCCAACTCAGTAATCTAGATAGCAAAGCATATTTGAAATGTCATTGCAAGCAAAAGATATTCCGTTAAGACTGCTTATACCAGTGCTCTTTTCGGTACTTGAAAGAGCTGAATGTTTTAAGTCACCTGGTAATAGTTCATTAAACCATATGCGCAAGTTTGGTCAGTAGCGCATGGTGGTATAAGACGTGTGCCGTTCACCACAGGAGGAAATATGCCGTCTGCATCTCTATAAATACACTTGAAAGAAATTGTTCGAAAATATGTTAAACAATTCTACGCATTTCGAATCGGCCAAGCACAATTGAAGAAGAAACGTCATCTTTTACACTGGAAA